TATACTATGCAACTGCGTAGCACTGTTCTGCAAACGACTAAAATTCCTAGGAGAGGTCAGTATGGCGTCCTCCGGCAGGAAACAAGTCACCTAGGAAGCTAATCAACTTCATCAGAAGTATTGGCATTCTAGAGTTTAGCTAGATTAAGGTATTCACAAAAGTTCTCTATAGGTCGAAAGGCGGTGAGGCCGCATTGCCTTAACGACCTCACATAATCTAATCTAATCTAATAATCGCTAAAAGGATTATAGTCTCAGTTGTGTTGTCAGCAAAGAACCTACTTGTAGAACAGTTCATTCTAAATGCTCTCAAAACTACTAGTAGTACAGTAGGTACTATCATTTTCTAAACCAGGTTAAATAAATTCGAGTTTACTATAATTTCTTTAGGTCTCTAAGAGACCTAAATAGGTCAAAATACGTATAAGTGGTTTGCCGCCGCTCTGTATTGAAACAAAAATCCAGTATCGTCTTTATATTTTATATCTTTACTCCGTTTGGAGTATCAGATTGAAGTATCAATTGAATTACACTACGAATTTTGACCATGATAAACGGTATGTAGAATGTAACCTTAGATTCCCTTGCCGAGTTATTTATCAAGCTGTTTGCTTTGCAAGTTTTTGAAAGCACAGTGGTAAAAATTTAAATTCGATTTCACCAGGTAGAAATGGTATGATTTCTGTTTTTGATTTTTTTTATTTTTGTTATAATTTTTCAATTAAAAAAATTAATTTAATGTTTTTATTTGAAACTTCAGCCTTGCACTGAAAATAAATAAAATTAAAAAATATTATCTTTGTGTTTTATTATTGATCAACAAGAATGTTTTGGTGGCCATGATTTTAATATGAGCAAATTTCTACATCAAAAAGTGACCTTTGTTCAAAGTCAATTTTGTTTTCGAAAAACAAAAAGGTTAATGCGATTTTTAAAACTACTTAGAATCACTACCTTCAACCATTTAATATCTGGAAAGTAAATGTATATATCCTTTTAAAATTGTTTCAAAATAAATTTAAACAAAATTACAGAATATTCAACATCAATTATCTCGAAAGCATGATATTTGACTTGGTCAGCAATATCACTTTTACATATTTCTTTCTAAAGAAAAGAAAAGTAGCGAGTAAAACAAATATCACATAGATATCGACGAAAAGGAGAAACTTAAATCAAGGTCGATCCATACCGGCAGTAAAAACGTGTATCTCTCTATACACATATAGAAGTAAGAATACAATTTCCTTTTTGGCGAAAAGGTCGTAGTATCTCAATAAACCCTGCTATTTACAAGGATCCAGAATTCAAAATCACAATTCATCCTATAAAAGAAAACATTCAGAAAAATGAAATAAAATAAACATGGTGGTTGCTTCGTGAATGCGCAAATGACCGTAAATTATTAAGTGCTACTGTGTTGTAGCGTGTGGTTAAATAATGGCCTACCGACACTACGCTACGTCAGGTTCTTAATCGATGCTTCAATCAGAAAAAGGTAGAGTAACAGAAATGTTAAAACAAAAAACATAAAGTTAATAACAAAATTACAATTGTATTTAAAAACTGTAACGAAAAATTTGAATTAAGTTACTTGATTGCTTTTGTGATCGATTGAAACAGGACAGTTTAATTATAGTTTATTCGTCTTCCGGGTTTGGACCGTGTCATTTGTGAGTGACCCAAAAGTGGGTTCATCTCGACGTTTCGCTACAATTGTATGTAGCTTCTTCAGGAGAACAAAGAAAACAAAAGACAGGAAGATGGGTAGTTAGCAACGGTAACTCAGTTACTCAACGCAACCAGAGGCGAATACTAACTACCAAGATGGGCATTTGGTCACAGTAACTCAACTACTTAACGCAGCCAGAGGTGAAAACCAAATGCCAGGACAGGGATTCACGTCCAACAGCTCAGAACACTAACGCATCGAGAGGCGGGGAGTGAATCCGACGATTACTCCGCTACCGCTCTATTTATAGTCGCGGTGACCTGTCGTGTCGGGACATATCGGCACACTCCGTGGCGCGAACGTCAAGAAGCGCGCGCTGGCCAATCATGTGGCTGCATCGTGGTAGCGGGAATGGACGGCGGCTCTAGACTGAGATTCCAGATGGGAGACAAGTAGTATCCTTCCTCTCGATTGATATTATGTGGATTTTTTCGGATCTCTAGAGATTCGCGGATTTTCCTGGAATAAAAGAAGGGGCTCTTAGAAATAATATGGGTTTTTTCGAACAATATGGAATGACCGGTTTCTTGGCAGTGTTCTGCAACTGCAGAATGGGAGAAAAAACCTGATCGAATGCATCTTTGATGCTCTTGAATCCGAGTTTTGACGGAACGACCAGTTTCGCCAATATACACATGTCCACATGAACAAGGAATAGAATAGACACCACAGGAAGATAGGGGCGGTAATGGGTCCTTAGGAGAGGGTAGATATTGTGAGATTTTCTTGGGTGGTCTAAAAGTAGTCCTGATACCTTCTTTGCGAAGAATTTTGCCAATCCTATCAGTGACACTTCGAATATACGGAAGAAAAGCCACAGGAGTATTACCGCAAGATTCTGAATTTGTCGTCCTAGGGTGTAAAGGGGGATGTAGATGTCGGTGTGTAATATTTTGAATTGTGAACTTGGAGTAACCGTTGGCGACAAGGGTTTTTTGCAGATGGCCAAGTTCTTCTCTAAGGTTTTCAGGTTCAGAAATCTAAATGGCCCGATGGATGAGAGAGTTGATCACAGAATTCTTTTGGGCAGGATGGTGGTGTGATGAAGCACGTAGGTAACGATTCGTGTGAGTCTTTTTTCTATAAACAGAGTGACCCAATCGGCCATTGGGCTTGGAGGCTAACACATCGAGAAAGGGAAGGGACCGATTATTTTCTACTTCCATTGTAAATTTTATACTCGGATGTTGTGAGTTAAGATGATCTAGGAAGGGAGAAAGGGTATGTTGACCATGGGGCCAGATGACAAATGTATCATCAATGTAGCGGAACCAGACTTTTGGTTTTAAGGGGTAAGATTCTAGGGCTAAAGACTCAAAGACTTCCATGAAAATGTCAGCAATGACAGGGGAAAGGGGAGAACCCATTGGTGTTCCAGATATTTGTTTGTAGAAATTGCCTCTAAAAGAAAAATATGTTGAAAGGAGGCATTTTTCCGCAAGATCTGCCAAAACCAAAGACTTGTTATCATTGGTCAAGTGATCTCGCAGAACAACTAGAGAGTCATGTATGGGGATATTGGTAAATAGGGATGATACATCGAAACTGACGAGAATGTCTTGGGGATCGACCGTGAGGGAGGAGATTAAGGGGATGAAATGTGTGGAATTTCGGACATAAGAAGAGGTACGACCAGTATAGGTCTTAAACTGATTCGACAAGTACTTTGCGAGTTTGTAGGTAGGAGAGTTAATCGTAGTCACAATGGGACGAAGAGGTACGTTGTCTTTATGGATTTTGGCAAGACCGTAAATTCTGGGGCAGATGGAGTTTTTTTGGAACTATGGACTTCTTAACATCATCGGAAAGATCGGATTGTTTGATGGCATGGGGAATTTCGCGTTCGACTCTAGGAGTGGGGTCTCGAGAAATTGTATTATAACAGGATGTATCCCTAAGTAAGTCGTTTACTTTCTCTATGTAGGAAGGAGTATCCAGGATGACTGTGGCATTACCTTTGTCTGCAGGAAGGATTATTATCTCAGAAAGAGAACGGAGATTTTTGAGAGCTATGAATTCCTCAGGAGATATATTGGAAGTAGGGATTTTGGCTGTATCAAGACATTTAGCGACGTCAAAGCGGATACGTTTGGCTGGAATTTTGGGAATTGTGCGGAGTGCCGCTTCCACATTTGAAACTATTTCTTCGGTAGGAATTCTGGAAGGAGTGATAGCAAGGACAGTTTAATAAAAAAAAGTGTTCACCTGAGGAAATAATAACTAAGTTGACATTTTCAATTGTGCGTATATCATCAACTTTATTTCTGTGTGTTCTATCTATCTATCTAATTTCTCTTTTGTTATATTTTTACTCTAAACATTTATAAAAAAAACAGTTCCTTTTAGAATTAAATTGTATTGTTGAATTTTAAAAACAGATTTAATCCCTAAGAACGAGTGCAGACTTTGATAGAAACGACGATATTTTTAATTTTCTGTTTAACATTATTTCTGTAACAGCAATTAATCTCGTGAATTGGCAGAAAAACATGCGGTGATAGATTTCAAAAATAACACGATGAGAATCACAGAAGAAAATAAAGAAGAAGAGGACATGATGGAAAAGGACAAGGAACATGAGAAACAGAAAATTGATGATTTAGGAACAGAACAAAACAGACAATTTCAACTAAGCACTGCCATGGCTACAGCTGATTCCAGAATAGCCTATCTTCTTCTTCTTCTTAAAGTGCCTATCCGTTCCGGATGTTGACGATCATCACGGCTATCTTTACTTTGTTTACTGCAGTGCGGAACAGTTCAGTGGTAGTCGTGTTGTACCACTTTCGTAAATTTTGAAGCCAGGAAATTCGTCTTCTTTCCGGTCCTCTCTTACCATTTACCTTCCCTTGGAGAATCAGCTGGAGAAGGCCGTAACGTTCTTGAATTCTCATTACATGTCCTAGATATTATAACTTTTTAGTTTTGACGGTCATGAGAATTTCACATTCTTTCCCCATTCTACGCAGGACCTCCACATTAGTAACTTTGTCAACATAGAATATCTTAGTTAAATTATTAACTAAGATAGGATTAAAAATGCTGCATCTTTTAAAAAACAATGATAATTTAAATTCACAGTTAGAAAATCGTAACCAAGAAATAAAAAGGCTGAATACACTTAATATTCACAATAAGTAGAGATTGTTGCTATAAAAATATTGACAATAAAGTGGGATATCTACCAGATGAAATAAATACGCCGAAAAGAGAAAAAAATACACTTCAAAATTAATTGACAGAAGCCTTAGCCAGGCAGCATGAGGCTATGCGACAAGCTCTTACTTTAGCAGAGAGAAACACACTTTTAGAAGACGAGATGAAAAACATAGACCAAATAGCACTGACAGTGGAAGTTCAGTGCAATGATACAGTGAAGACGAATATTGAAAAAGTTTTACGATTGCAAGATCGAATGAACGAATCAGTGGTAACAGTTCAAACATTGGAACGGGAAGTCACCAAACTTAAAGTGGGAAAAACGGAATTAATTTCCGAGTTGGAAGCTGTCAAATTTGACAAGAAAAATTTGCAGATGTTGCTGGAAATGAAAACTGATGACAAAAATGACTTCTGGATCGCCTAAATAATTTTACAATTATAGAACAAAGTTTAAACATGGAAATTGACAGATTGTTAAGACTTTTAGACGAACAAAAACGAAAAATTGCTGAATTAGACTCTGATGTTATAGCCAGTAAATTTGTTTCTTCGAATTTAAGATCAAGCCTTGATGTAGAAAACTTGCAGAAACAACGTTCTCAAATATCTGATTCATATGCGCATACCGAAAAAAATATCGGTCACAAAAACGTACAACAAACTTTCAGGAAAGCTCTTTCAGGATCAGCTAAACTGGATTCGGTAGCGAATGAAGCTAAAGAGAGCTTAGACCAGATTAAATCATCACCTCCTGGTTTGCAGTACGACCATAAAATGGGATCAAAGTGTTGGTACGAAGTTGGCGGTTGTATTAAATGGATGAGAGAACCGCTCGAGAAAGATATGACTTTGAGACAAGAACAGGCTTCCCAGCAAATTGAATCTTTACGAAAACTAAAAGAATTATGTTAGGATAAAATGATATATATATATATATATATATATATATATATATATATATTATATATATATATATATATATATATACCCGGTATTTAAGCGGCACACGCCCTTCCGGTAGGGATCTATGGAGGAGTATCACCGAGACGCAAGTCCTTATCTCTTCCGTTACTGCTCCACCAAAGGCCGATCAGATACCAGCATATTCTAGACTAAGCCGCAGATTAATTTTAGAATTCTAAACTGCTGCCTTAACCTTTTTGTTTTCTGACATCTCTCGCAGTGAAGCGAATGAGAAACCAGCTGGCCAGCCCGCGTGGCTATTTGACGGACTAGAATAAAATGAATTTTTTGTTGTTGTTGAGAGAAAATATTTTTTTTTGTTGTACAAAAAATTGTATCTCAAAACAAGGAGGAGATTTTGTTATGATTCATTTTATCAATCAAAGATAGAATAAAAATTTTAATTTGTTATAGAACGCGGGCACATACATTTCCAACGCCCTGTACATCGATTTGTAAATATTTGTTATAAGTTAGTTTTAAGCAGTGGGTTTATTTATAATGAATTTTACCCTGAAGCACCGAAAAACATTAGTAAATACTTAAATATGAATAGATAATTGTTTCCCGGTATTTGTAGATATTATATTTTAAAAGCATTTGTTTTTGTTTGGCTGGAAAGGCCAAAAGCCACCAGGTAGTTATAGTATTTAGAAAGTATGAGATAAAAACCGGTATCATTTTCAAAAAAGTTGTTTAGAAGCCATGCTTGGGTTTTTCAGATATAAAATTAAAGACGGGATATAAGAATTTTCTGATTGGTTAGCGAGTTTGGAATAGGAACAAGAGAGTGAATGTTTTGAAACTTTGGAGCAAAAAGAATTAATATATGATGGTCATCGGAGAGAAGCAGTTAAAATTTTGTGTAGTCAGTTTAGAAGCAAGTGCCAGTAGTGTTAATAATTAGAAGTGAATGGCTGAAAGGTAGAACGAGAGATATATCAAAGCTGAGAAGTCGAATACCTCCTGGATTCTATAAAGTCCAAGAGATTGTTAATATATAAAAGAGAGAAGAGAATTTTGAAGTTTGTTGAACGAGTACTGGTAAAAGAGGCCTGCTCGTGTTTTTGGATAAAGAGTTAGCCTAACATAATCAACAAGGGGGAGCTGTTCTGATCGAAAGAAGATATCGTCGTGTGTGAATTAAAAGGTCAGTCAATAATTTTTATGACACAATATTTATTGTATGTTTCGAATAAAAGACTTTATATCATCAGAAGAACAAAAATTATCGCTATTTTAAGATACCATAAATTTTATAAAAGTTTTTTTTTAACTTCATAGAATAATTATTAATAGTGCGTCATAAATTTAAAAGGTTTCTTTTCTAATATTCAGATTTTTTTGTACAAAAACATATGAACAAAGATTGCAATATTTGAAAATTTTGAATATTATTATTTCTTTTGATAATAAAAGATATTTGTATTTGTATTTATGTTATTTCTATTTATTTCCTTTCCTATTTTATCCCGAGAAGGAACAATTAAGAGACACTGGAAGCCACGAGAAAATATAAATATAACAAGCTGATTTATTATTTTTAAAAAATGGCACCATGAGATTGTTTTTTTATATACGATTTGCCACATTGAGATAATTAATTAAATAATTAATTAAAGAAATTAAATAAATAAAAAGTTAAATAAAAAGTAAGAAAAGGCAGATAATAATTCTTCTTCTTCCAATGGCGCTACAGCCCAAATTGAGCCTTGGCCTCCTGTAACTTCTGCCTCCAACAAAGGCGATCCCGCGCCACTCGTCTCCAAGCCCTGACGTTCAATAAGTTGTGCGCATCTGCTGTGACTTCGTTCTCCCATCTATTACGTGGTCTTCCCTTTGGTCTTCTGCCCTGCATTTTACCATCCAAGGCCTTTCTCGGCAATCTGTCGGCATCCATCCGTACAACATGACCAGCCCATCGAAGCCTTTGTACTCTAGCGAACTCTGCAATAGGTGCTTCTTTGAACAGTTGGTAGAGTTCATGGTTATATCTAGATCTCCACATCCCATTTTGAGTGATGGGTCCAAAGATCTTCCTTAGGATTTTTCTCTCGAAAACCTCTAATCTTCGTTTAGTGCTTTCTGTCAAAACCCATGTCTCGCATCCATAGCATACTATCGGTCTGATGATAGTTTTATAGACCTTAAGTTTCGATTTTCGATGTACCGTCTTGGAGCGGAATATGTTAATCAGGGAAAAATAGGCTTTATTTCCCTTCATTATTCTCTTCTGAATTTCGGCCTCTTCTGTTCCCTCCGTATTCATTTCGACTCCCAGATAAGTAAAACTCTTCACTGTTTCAATGTCATCCTCTACTTTGATTTGATTTCTTGTTCGCTTTGTCCGCGTCTGTGTTAGTATTTTTGTCTTGTGTGTATTTATTTCAAGTCCAATCTCCTTGGCCGTTTTTTTCAGCTGCGAATATGTTTCTGCTGCATCATCCACTCTGCGGGACATGAGGTTAATGTCATCCGCATATGCGGCGAGCTGGACAGATTTGTTTGTTAGGAGATTGGCTCTTCCGACATTCAGCTTTCTGATGACATATTCAAGGGCCAGAATGAACAGTGCTGGAGCTAGTCCATCACCTTGTTTCAGCCCTTGAACTATTTCGAAGCTGTCAGTTAATTCGTACTGTATGCGTACAGTTGCTATTGTGGAGTCCATCGTTGCTTTTACTAGTCGGATATATTTCGAGGGAATATTGAAGCTTTCCATGATGTTATATAACCGGCTTTTATTTATGGAGTCATAAGCCTGTTTGAAGTCAACAAATATATTGTGAACATCAATATCGTGTTCCCAAGCTTTATTAAGGATTTGCTTTACTGTAAAAAGCTGATCTATTGTCGACCTGCCTTGTCGAAAACCGGTCTGGTATTCGCCGATAATATTTTCACATAATGGTTGAAGTCGCCTATTCAGGATGGATGTAAAAATTTTGTAGGCCGAACATAGGAGGGTTATGCCGCGGTAATTTTCGCATTTAAGTTTGTCCCCATTTTGTAGATTGGGCAGATAATCCCATTTTTCCAATCGCTAGGAATTTTTTCTTCCCTCCAGATAATAATACTATATATTTAATTTTAGATTTGAAGATTTCATTCCTAGGATTCGTATGTAAAAATAATACATTCTTGTACAATGTAAAAGATGGATGTAAAATAATATAAAAAGTGGTTTAAAATGGCTAAGCAGTTTTCTAATACACGGAACTAGCGCATTCTGGCCACAACCTATAAAATTAAGATCCCCGAAGTGGCGTTTTCCTACACAACCCTGCCGTTACCAAATATACCAGTTGCATCGCACGGTCAGCAGCGAGATATCAAAGGAATAGCGGATTAGGGCGAATTGTCCATGGGCGGTGCTCCTACTCCAAATTACACTTACAAAGGATCCAAAACATGGAGCGAGTAAGTGAACATTAGGTATTCCGTGTATAACGTGAATTATTAATAGACTCTTACAATAAGTAGCCTAGGTACGTCGTCGAAGAAAGTTGTTAAAAATAATGGAAACTATCAATAAGAAACGTGATCACTTCGAGTAAACTCACGCAATAGCTCTTTTATATAATACCTATATGATATCAACAAATAGGGACCTATTCTATTTATAATAATAGCGACCTATCTCTATTTTTAATAGTTTTCTTAATGTTTTTGGATATTTTTCGAAAAGGAATAAAAAATATATCATTTAAGAAGAAGAATAAGTCAAATATTATTACTGAAGTTATCACACAACTTTCAATTGGCAAAAATCTGAATGCCACCTATCACATCCACCTCAAAACATATCTGCTTTGGTCTATAATATACAGTGTGGAAATCACTTATGGAATAAAATTGTTTGTGTCCTTATTTTAGAAAATAATAAAAAAACATTGAGATACTCTAACTTTTAAATTTAAATGTGCTCTTTTTAAACATAAATTTGAATGTACACGGTGATCCACGCAAGTCTGGCATAGTCCATAATCCTTATTTTTAATGAAACACCCTGTATATTTTTATGTTTTTAAAAGCTCCTTAACAACCTGATCTCAACGAACTATATCATGTATGGTCTATTATGAATAATACAAGGTGAAATTTTGAAACTAATTATAATTTTTTTCGAGACAATTAATTCATAGAATATCCGAGGTAATTGATTGGATTCATCATCATCATCATCCGAGCATAGTCGTTCACTGATGAACATAGGCCTCCTCGAAAAACCTCCATTCAGATATATCTTGAGCTGCTGCAATCCAGTTGGTACAAATCCTCTTTATGTCGTCAGTCCATCCTGTGGGTGGTATTCCCGGGTTTCGTCTATCCAATCTCGGTCTCCACTCCAAGATTTTTTTTGGTGTACCTATTATCCTTTATTGTAGCGACATGTCCTACCCACCTCCATGTAATTTATCTATGTGTTTTATAATTTTTCCTACACCACTCTTTCTACGGATTTCTTCATTTCTACTAAAAAACGTCAAAATTGAAATTGTTGACAGCAACATATACCTTGGACATACGGTAAAAATTAGCAGAGATAATTAAACTGCTGAGCTGCTAAGAAGAATAACACTGGGATGGGCAGCATATGGAAGACTGCGTCATATTTTTAAAGGTGATATACCTATCAGCTTAAAAAGAAGAGCCTTTAATCAGTGTGTCTAGCCTGTCCTTACATGGCGCAGAGACACCCTAACAAGGACATATATACGAAAACTACAAGTGACGCACATAGAATGGAAAGATCATTGTTAGTAAAAACGTTGCGAGATAGGGTAAAAAACGAAGAAACGAAGAAAAAACGAAGAAATTGATTGAATTACATTAAAATTAATGGTTAAAATATTCTCCACCTTGTTGTTGGCAATAACCCAGTCTCTTTGTCCCGAACTTTGTTTAAAGTTTGGAGTAAAATATTCCGTATTTCTATAGTTATCTTT